CAGGAGCCCACAGCTATAGCCCAAGGGCCAAATCCAGCCCATCACCTGTTTCTTCAAATAAAGTTTTATTGGAACATAGCCAGTATGAAATTAGCCTATGTATAGACTATGGTTGCTTTTGCCCTGCAATAAGTGATAGTCACTCAGTTGTGTCCAACTCTTTGCTACCCCATGGACTGTAGCCCACTGGGCTCCTCTGTCCATGGAATTCTCCATGCAAGAATACTTAAGTGGGTTGCCATTTCCTTCTTCAGGGGACCTTCCCAACCCAGGGATCGAGCACAGTTCTCCTACACTGCACGCAGATTCTTTACCATCTGAGCCACCAAGGAGGCCTACTATTAAGAGACATTTCTAAGTATAAAGACAGGTCAACTTAAAAAGTATCAGCAGATCCATATGGCCCTCAGTGCCTATAGCATTTATTATCTGGTTCTGTACAGAAAAAGTTTGCTGACCCCTGCCTAGACTAATAAACTTCCCTTGCAGTCAAACCCCTATAAGAGGCAGGAGGAGGTTGATTTCATCATATCCTGGTCCTAAACAACAAACTTTTAGGTGCCCCAGGTCCCATCCCAGAAGAGAGACATCTGGATGCTCTGGGTTTAGGAGAATTCTCAGGTGCCCTGAAGCTTCTTTCTGCTCCTAGCAGACCCATCCCTTCTCTGGTAGCCAATCCTGAAAGGACTAGTTTGGCGGCAAGGTAACTACGGTCATCTGTGTGAACTCTACTTATGTCTAATTACCCCACAGCACAGATTGGTTTTGCATATCCTTTACAATGTCATATTAAATTTGTTGCAAGCCTTATTTGATTCCAAACTAAACTATACTCATGCATATTCTGTCTTGCTAATGAGTTGCTTTTGGAAAATGGCCAATTGCTCACAATTTACACAAAATCAAAGGGAACACTGGTCAGGAGTGCTGGGCTATTGGCTCATGCCCAGAATTATTTCTTAATGTGTAGCTGAAGAAAGGAAACGACTATAAAGCTAACAGCCCCCAAAGAAGTTACAATTTCCAAAACTAAATATCAAGAGAGAACCATTAGAAAGTTTATGAATTGCGTAATGATTTAAAATTTCTAAAGCTAGAGCTATCAGCTTAAATTAATCAGTTTCTGTCTTGACTAAAGCCTTTTGTAAAATAGCATGGGGATTTTCTCAATACATCTGAACTTTTCAAATGTGAATTTTATACCAGGAGAGAAGACAAATATACCTTCCCAGCCTAATAGTTCGATTCAAGGCATAAGCTTTTAATAGTAATAGCTACAGTTTCTTAAACTTTTAAATTGCACAAGTCTTTGTCTTTAAGCACATATTTGATTTAATCTTCCCAACAGCCCTATAAATTGGTACTATTAGTATCCCCATATTACAACAGAGAAAACTAATGTGCAGAGTGATTAAGTAACTTGCAGAAAAATTTCCGAGTGTCATCTAGACAGCCCCGTTTCCTCCTTTGTGCTCTTATTGCACATACACATCTCATAAAAAGTTATCAATGCCCATTTTCTACTGAGAGAAACCCCAGTTATGTTTTGTGAGAGTTCAGGATATGATTTATTCAAAAAGCATAGAAGGCATTTACCGTTCTGTGTTTTGCCAGGCATGATTTCACTTTGTCTTCACAACAGCTCCGTTAGCCCTATCAGTATCTTTATTTCTTAGGTGATTATCCTGGGATTCAGAGAGCTCATGGACCTTGCCTGCCATCACAGAGCCAGTGAAGAACAGAGTGGTAGGTTTTCGATAGAGCAATGGGCATTGGAACGCTACGATGCACAGATGTGAGTGCATCCGTGCACTCTCCGTGGTGTCCGACTCTCTGCGACTCCACGGACTGTAGCCCACCAGGCTCCTCTGTCCATGGAATTCTCCAGGGAAGAATATTGGAGTGGGTTGCCATTTTCTCCTCCAGGGAATCTTCCTGAACCAGGGATCCAACCCTCATCTCCTGTATCACAGGCAGATTCTTTACAGCCAAGCCACCGGGGAAGTCCACGGATGTGAGGGTTGGACCATAAAGAAGGTTGAAGGCTGAAGAATTGTTGCTTTCAAATTGTGGGGCTGGAGAAGACGCTTGAGAGTCCCTTGGAGTCTGATCAAACCAGTCAATCCTAAAGGAAATCAGCTCTGAGTATTCACTGGAACGACTGTTACTGAAGCTGAAACTCCAATACTTTGGCCACCTGATGTGAAGAGCCGACTTGTTGGAAAAGACCCTGATGCTGGGAAAGATTGAGGGCAGGAGGAGAAGGGGTGGCAGAGGATGGGATGATTAGAGAGCATCACTAACTCCATGGACATGTGTTTAAACAAATTCCTGGAGACAGAACTCCTGGAGAAGGGGACGACAGGGGATGAGATGGCTGGATGGCATCACCGACTCAATGGACATGAGTTTGAGTAAACTCTGGGAGTTGGTGATGGACAGGGAGGCCTGGCATGCTGCAATCCATGGGGTCACAAAGAGTTGGACACGACTGAGGGACTGAACTGAACTTAACTGAACTGGAGATAGTGGAGGACAGAGAAGCCTGGTGTGCTGCAGTTCCTGGGGTTGCAAAGAGTTGGACACGACTTAGTGACTGAACAACAACAAAGTGCTCTAATGCCCCTTTAGGAGAGCAACATCTTAATTCATACGATGAATCAAGTTGGGGTTGTTGCGCTCTGATGCTCTTGATTGGGTAAGTTCATGCACTGGACCTGGGGCAGGGCCAAATGGCTCTGCTTATTAAAAATAGTGAGGAACTAAGGGACTGCCCTGGCAGTCCAGTGGTTAAGACTCCAAACTCCCAATGCAGGTGGCCTGGGTTTGATCCCTGGCCATGGAACTAGATCCTGCGTGCCAAAAGTAAGACCCGGTGCAGCAAAAAAAAAGTGAGGAATTTTAAGTTCCCAAGAGACAGAGAGAACAACCCTGGAAGCTGGTGTGGGGAAAAGGGCACCAACAGAAAACCTTAAAGCGGAGCCAAGCACGGAGTCTAGAGGAAAGAAATCCTGAGGCAGAAGTGGGTGTGGCAGTGGTGTGTGTGTGTGTGTGTGTGTGTGCGCACACACTCAACGTACACTCCCATCCCCTTCACAAACCTCACCAGGATGTTGTCAGTAAAGTCCACCTTGCTCGCTGATGTGTGAGGGGATTTTTGTTAGGGTAACTTAGGCACCAAGAGCCGGATTACTGCAAAGCAAAACCAGAGACACCTCATGTGATGCAAGAACCCCAGCCCAAGGTGCCAACTGACACCCATCCAGATTACAACAGGCATCTAAAGGGGGCGCATTTCAGTTCCCTCTTGCCAGCTACCCCATTCAACTATACTCTTTGGTACTGCATTAAGTACTCCTTAGTGCCAGGCAACAGATAAGGGGGAAAAAAAGACTCTTAGAGGGTGTTTGAGACTAAACTTCTATACTACTTACTAGGAAAACTTACTACTCTGTGTGTGTGTGTTTGTGTTGCTTAGCCGTGTCCTACTCTTCGCAGCCCCATAGACTGCAGCCCACCAGGCCCCTCCATCCACAGGATTCTCCAGGCAAGAACACTGGAGTGGGTTGCAATTTCCTTCTCCAAACGGAACTATAGAAAGAAAGAAAGTGATGTCGCTCAGTCATGTCTGACTCTTTGCGACCTCGTGGACTGTAGCCTACCAGGCTCCGCCATCCATGGAATTTTCCAGGCAAGAGTACTGGAGTGGGATAACTCATCCACCCCTCACAATTACAGAAGAGAAATTGAAGCATAGAAAAGTTAAGCAACTGGGTCCCCATCACACAGCAGCTATGAAGAAACATGGCTGGGACTTGAACTCAAGACACTCCAGCTTCAGAGCCCAGGATCTGAACAAATACTAAACCACCCAGAACATGCTGCCTGGAGTACAGTGCCTAGAGAACTCAGCAGGACCCTCTAGCCTCTGATATCTGGTTCCTGAGTTGACAGTATCCAGACTCCAGCTCGTGTTCTTCCTCAGGTGGATTTAACGTGCAGTGAGGGTAAGGTCACTGATGCTTGGCTGTTGCTGGGCCCCTATTCTGAGGTGTTCATTTAAAAAAAAAGACCCTAGGGATGGGATGAGACTCGCAAGCCAGGTGTCCAGAGCCCAGGCTCCTCCCCACGCTGAGAACAGTCTTCTCCGCCTGATTACACCTGCAGGGAGGACTTGTCTGTCCTTGGCTCATCTGCTGCTTCAAAAGGAGGCAGAGACAGCCTGCAGCCACGCAGCAATGCAAAACATGTCTCTCACCAGAACCCGGGGACCAGCACAAAACCATTTCTGATGTATTCAATGTTTCTGAAACCCGAAGCACACTTAACTCTTAAACACTGGTATGGCTTAAAACTTCTGTCACAAAAATGGGATCTTAAAAACGTAACAATTTTAAGAGTGGGAAATCCCCAACATCACGACTTACCCTGGCTTTACTTTTTCTCCCATCCCTCCCCCATCAAGACTAGATCACCACAGACAAGATGCCACGTGAGTGTCTCATTGGGGTGAACCAGGGCGCTTTTGTTTCTTTCCCTGAGACTGAAGAAGACGGAGGACGAATTAACTGGTGCAGCTGAGAAGTGGGACGAGGGTTCTCCTTTTAAGGGGAACCATTAAGTTTTAGAGTCATTTTCACAGTAACATTAAGCCATTTACCTAGCAATTATGCAGGGAATAAATACTGATAGAGTGTTCCGTGAGCACAGCTGCACGCCAGCATCTGGAGCTGCCTCTGGAATCCTAGAGGGCACATCTGCCAGCAGAGAGGCTCCTCCGGAGAGCGCCTCGGAGTTTGGATGGGAAACGCAGCTGCAGTATCAGCCAGTGCGGTCAGGAAGGGGTGGGCTGTCCTGACCAGGCGAGAAACCCTAGACTTCGTTCTGTATTCTATAGAGAGTCAGGATCTGCCGCCTGGCCACACACACACACACACACACACACACACAAAATGACTGCACTAGTAAAAATAAACTCCCAAAGCAATTGAGCATCTGTAATGGGCCAGGAGGGCTTCCCAGGTGGCTCAGAGGTAAAGAATCCGCCTGCCAATGGAGCAGACTTTGATCCCTGGGTCGAGAAAATCCCCTGGAAGAGGAAATGGCAACCCACTCCAGTATTCTTGCCTGGGAAATTCCATGGACAGAGGAGCCTGGTGGGCTACAGTCCAGGAGGTCACAAAGAGTCAGACACCACTTGGGGCGCACACACCACCACTACCATCACCAAAGGGCCAGGCACTGTCCCCTGCACCCTGTGTGTGAGGCTTCCTAACAGTGAGGGCGCTGCTTGTATTATTCCTGTTTAATGAGGGAGGGCAGGATTGAGGGAGGACTTAGGTACTCAAGCCTAAGTATCTAGCAGCACCAAGACTTGAGCATGGGTATATTCTGATGTTGGACATGCTCCTAACCATCACCCTGTATTAATTCCCAAGTAGGTGATCATATAGAGCTGTGCCAACAGATTCTGCAGCACTCTGGCTGGCTTGACCCTAGCAGTCGTTTTTCAGAGTACCTACTCTGTGTCAAGGGGCTTTCCAGGTGTGACCAATGCAAGGGACTTAAGAGACGTGGGTTCGATCCCTGGGTTGGGAAGATCACCTGGAGGGGCGCATGGCAACCCACTCCATTATTCTTGCCTGGAGAATCCCATGGACAGAGGAGCCTGGGGGGCCACAGTCCATAGGAACTCAAAGAATTGGACTTGACTGAGCGACAGCACACGTGCACTCGGTATCCGACACATCCAGCGGACTGAACTGTAGGGAGCACGTCAATGGGAGAATCAGCAGATGGAGGTGTTCTCCACTGCAGGCAGAGCACCCACCCCGAACATTCTTCACCGGTACCTTCTCATATTGCCCCGCCTACCCTTTTCCTTCTCCCTTTCCCAAAGTGATGAGAAGAAGCAGTCAGATGACTTATGATGAGGGGCAAAGCAACTATGTCCTCCCCTCTTTGAGTCATTCTCCAGATCTCTAGATATCAGTTCAGTTCACAGTTCAGTTCAGTTGCTCAGTTGTGTCTGACTCTTTGCGACCCCATGGACTACAGCACACCAGGCTTCCCTGGCCATCACCAACTCCCGGAGTTTGCTCAAACTCATGTCCATTGAGTCTGTGATGCCATCCAGCCATCTCCTCCTCTGTTGCCCTCTTCTCCTCCTGCCTTCAATCTTTCCCAACATCAGGGTCTTTTCCAATGTGTCAGTTCTCATTAGGTGGCCAAAGTATTGGAGTTTCAGTTTCAGCATCAGTCTTTCCTATGAATATTTAGAACTGATTTCCTATAGGATTGACTGGTTTGATCTCCTTGCAGTCCAAGGGACTCTCAAAAGTCTTCTCCAATACCACAGTTCAAAAGCATCAATTCTCAGTGTGAAAGAGTCCAACTCTCACATCCATAATGACTACTGTATTTATCTCTAGACATATTCAGATAAGATTTTATGTACATGTCTCAATATTCAGTGAAATGTGTCCCCTCACCCAGGTCCTACCCACTCTGTTTCCATCCCCTAATTCTACTGATTTGCATTTTCTTGTGTTTCCTTCTAAATTTGCACATACATATGTAAGATACTATAAACAGTAGTTATTAATCCTTCTCACTCCTGCTTATTTTCTTGGTGTTCTAGCCCTGTGAATACTCAGAGAGAGCATCTTCATTCTTTTCTATAGCTGCATACTATTCCATTTACAGATGTGTCATACTTACTTGAGTTTCCTCCTATTAAAAGACATTCTGATGTTCTCTAAATATTTTTCTGTTCATAAATGGACACTTTGACTCCTTGTGTCTAGATCTCAATTCTAGAACTCCATGAAAAATAAGGAGGCTGATGGACATCTCCAAATTTCAAAGAACCACCACTACAAAATATCAGAGCAAAGAATCAAAATGCATTCAGGAAAAGCCCCACTCTAAGAGGAGCTTTCTATGCCAGGAGAGACTGCCATGTCCACCTTTCCCCAAATATTCCATTTCTAGACTTCCCTGGTCATCCAGGGGTTAAGACTCTGCCTGCCAGTGCAGGGGACATGAGTTTGATCCCCAGTCCCGGAAGATCCCACATGCTATGGAGCATCTAGCCCGTGTGCCACAACTACTGGAGCCTGAGCTCTGGAGCCCATGCTTCTCAATAAGAGAAGCCACCTCAATGAGAAGCCTGTGCATGGCAACTGGAGAAAGCCCACTCATAGCAATGAAGACTCAGCACAGCCAAAAATAATTAATTTTTAAAAATTCCATTTCCCTTCAGCTCAGGAAAAAATCTGACATCTTGAATTACGCGATCTATACATAAAGCAGTTTTTAACTATAATTGGTGGGGGATGGTTATTGAGATAATGTAAAACTCAGCCCAGTCTAGCCTACCAACTCAGGAGGAGTCCAAGCCTGGAGGTCTTTCCTTTGCCTCTCTGGCTGGGCCCATTAGGGGCTGAGCAATTGTCCTCTCCATGAAGACATTCACTTCCCCAGCGCCGCCCCCCGACCGCCCCATCCAAGCCAGAGAGGCGTGCCTGCATTTGTGAAAATGTCACATCAGTGCTGGATTTGTCACCAAGAAATGATACGTGTTTCTTCTCTTACCCCTTTCAGATCTTTACTGAAAACAGCAGTCACACCTTAGATTGGGACCAGCACTAAAATAATGAGAATTAGGACAATCTGCTTGCCTTTCGGTTTGTCCTAACACCCTCACCTTTTCTAAACTCGGTCACTGCATTCTACCTCCTCCCTCCTCCCTCCTCCCACCTGTAGCTGATGCTGTTGGTTCCCTGCCCACATTCTCTTAGGTACCATTTCAGGGTACAGTGGCCTGGCTTTCAGTGACTGGCATCTGCATCTCTTTTCCTAAGGGCTTTCTCCAGCTACCAGTGGCCATTCTGCCCATATGCAAGGCAGACTGGAAGGGCTCAGGAATTAATGCCCAGTGCTCTTTCCCTTACATTCTACTATATTTGAGCACTGATGATGAAACACTTGGTGTAGCAATTTCTTGGCCATGAAGAGTGTTTCAGTGAGAATGGGTCAGAGAACACTTCATAAAAAAGTTCTTAGAATTTGGGCTGTTTCAAGAAATTCACCAAAACATCTCCAGTTCATCCCCTCCCTGAGTTAGATTTAACACATGCTGTTGCAGGGGCTGCTCTGATGGGATGTGGTCTCATATCTTGTCCTACAAGTCCCTCACAGCATCCACACCCTTTGGGCAATACTTGAAAATATCATCTGTGGGAGTCCCCTATTCCTGCAACACTGCTGCAAAATAAAAACTAGTGACTTATGAAGTCAGGCATTTATTTTTCTTATTCACGGGTCTGCAGATTGGCTATGGTGATGATACTTCAGTCTGGGTTTGGGTCTGTTCCATATGACTAATCCTGGGATCCAGAGACAAAGGGCACTGGCTACCCAAGGCATGCTCTTCTCATGGTGGTTACAAGGGAAGCCACACAACGTAAGCATTATTTAAAGGCTCTGCTGGACGAATGGATGAGGAAGCTGTGGTACATATACACCATGGAATATTACTCAGCCATTAAAAAGAATTCATTTGAATCAGTTCTAATGAGATGGATGAAACTGGAGCCCATTATACAGAGCGAAGTAAGCCAGAAAGATAAAGACCATTACAGTATACTAACACATATATATGGAATTTAGAAAGATGGTAACGATAACCCTATATGCAAAACAGAAAAAGAGACTCCGATGTATAGAACAGACTTGTGGACTCTGGGAGAAGGCGAGGGTGGGATGTTTCAAGAGAACAGCATTGAAACACGTATATTATCTAGGGTGAAACAGATCACCAGCCCAGGTTGGGTGCATGAGACAAGTGCTCGGGCCTGGTGCACTGGGAAGACCCAGAGGGATCGGGTGGAGAGGGAGGTGGGAGGGGGGACCAGGATGGGGAATACATGTAAATCCATGGCTAATTCATTTCAATGTATGACAAAAACCACTGCAATGATGTAAAGTAATTAGCCTCCAACTAATAAAAATAAATGAAAAAAAAAATAAAAAAAATAAAGGCTCTGCTGGAGTCACAGACACATTCCATTTGCTGAAGCAGGTCAGTGGCCAAGGCCACAGTCAGTGGTGTAAGAAGCATACAAGTTCCCAGCTTGCAAGGGAGATGAGTGAAGCTCTGCTGAATAACACTTCAATCGATCACATCAGCTACAAGTGTGATTTCCAGGGAGGGAGGGAGGGAGGTCAAGTACATCTTCACAAAGCCTCTGAATCTACAAACTGATACTGTCCTGTCACTCAAGTCAGTCCTATAAGCTGCCAAGAGGCGACGACCTCAAAGGGACCTTTCTTGAGAGATCCCCGGGGATGTGAAATGGCATTCTCCCAGATTAGAGATCCCCAAGATGGAAAGTATCTAGTTGATCTGGGACAGTTTAAAAACCTACCATTTTACTTCTCATGATCTGCCCTAAATCAAGCTTTCGAACTTCCCTTTAGAAAGGACGGGACCTGAAGAGAGGGAAGAGGCAGATGTGGGTGGTTCATATGCTTCACCCTCAGTAATCAATGTCTAGAATAAAGGTCCTGGCCAAGATACAGAATGGTGCAGTAGCCAGGAATAGCTGCTCCTGAGTCTGACAACACACATTCGAATCTCTTCTTATGCTGGATCCTAATTGCCTTCCCCACCCAACTCCTCAACTTCCATTTCCCCGTCTGTCTCCCAAGAAGAACCCTCATTTTCTTCATGGAACTGCCCTCCTCAGGGAACAATGACCCACCTCCAACACAAACCTCAGCCTAATTGGCTGGGAGTAGTTCTGTTCCCTTTACCAGTGACTGGTTCAAGAATAGGTAAGTGACCCAGGAGGGGCTGATAAGATAAACACCGTGGCTGCTGGAAGAGTTTGCTGGAGGGAAAATATTCCATCACTGTAAGGAGAAAGCCCTAGAAAGAAACCAACCCTTTCTCCTTTTTCTGAACTTTGTTATGTCTAGATGTCACTACTAGAGTCCTCTAACTTCCCAAAGATGAAAACAACTGAAAGATGGCAGAGCAGAGAGATGGAAAGGACAAACGTCCTGAGGATATCATTGAACTGCTGAATCAGCCTCGCCTGAAGCTTGGCTTAACCGCGACCTTGCTTTTCAGCGAGGTCATGAAAGATCCTGGTTCCTGGCTCTTTGACTCACAGCTAAGCCATCTTCAGCAGTGTCTACCCAGTCACTGACTACCACTGTGTCTTTGATCAAGTCACTTAATTTCTCTAACTCCACTTTTGCACCAGAACCGATTGCCAGGATTAAAAGACAATGAGTATGAAGCATTTGAAAATTTGCAGTGTCTGGTGTCTAGTAAGGATGCAAACGACTCCCAGACATGACTTTTATTGTAGGGCTTTGGGGCACCATCAAGAAAGTGCAGGCCTGGGCTAAAAGTCTAACTTATATACTTCTCTGTTTACAGTTGTCGCCCTCTGGCTATTCCTTCTAGAAAGTTACTAAAAACTGCCCCCCAAAACCTGTTTTTATATTGGACTGAGAAGTATAAGGTCTCCTACCCTAATCTCTGAAGCCTGTGTGGTATAAAAGCCCCATGGTGAAGAGTACAAGGGGGATGTGTTTATGTCTTATTTTTTAAACACTACATAATTAATACATGGTTTTTTTTAATATGAAAAAATGCAGATAAACAATAAGAGTAAAAGAAAAGAAAATTCACTTATGATCCTAACACCCAAAGGAAAGCACTCTGAATACTATGTACGTGTTCTTCCAGACTTCTTAGTTGGGGACATCATTGAAAAGAGGAAGAATAGAGAAAAAACAGGCATCCTTGTATGCTACTTCGGAGGGTGAATTGGTGATGACCTTTTGGAGGGAAACTTTGTACAGTCTTTGGAAATTTAAAAAAAAATATTTTTTTAATGCACCAACACTTTGGTTCCTCTTGAGAGTCCTTTGGACAGCAAGGAGATCAAATCAGTCAATCCTAAAGGAAATCAACCCTGAATATTCATTGAAAGGACTGATGATGAAACTAAAGCTTCAATACTTTGGCCACCTGATGCGAAGAACTGATTCACTGGAAAAGACCCTGATGCTGGGAAAGATTGAAGGTGGGAGGAGAAGGGGACGACAGAAGATGAGATGAGATGGTTGGATGGCATCACCAACTCTATGGACATGAGTTTGAGCAAGCTCTAGAAGTTGGTGATGGACTGGGAAGCCTAGCATGCTGCAGTCCATGGGGTCGCAAAGAGTCAGACATGACTGAGTGACTGAACTGAAGTTTGGCTCAACAATTTTGCCATTAGAATCCGATCTCTAGAACAACAGCAAGAGATGTGGATTATTGGATAGAGCTTGCAGAATGCCAGGTACTGTTCTCCACATTTTTGTACCATCTCAGTTAATCCTCACTACCCATGGGGAGATATTACAT